TGGGGTGGAGGAAGAGGAGCACTCTGACGCAGATACCGTCGCTTCTGGTCCGCAACGTGAGACGCCCACGCCTCATGGTCGCTCGTCGTCCACGTCTTCCTTGTCTGGTCCACCTGCCGACCCCGAAGCGTGGCATGAGCAGGCTGCGGCAGCCAGAGAGCTCGAATCGCTTTTTGAGCACATGGTGAATGTCAAGTACGGCATTCACCTTCGCCCATCCGAATTCATTTTCGAGATGATGATGCGGGTCTTCGGGGCCGCGAAGGAGATCACTGCCATGCACCTTACCCTTGCTCCGCCGGATCAGTCGACGGTGGGGTTGCAGAGAGTGCCGTCGCCACTGCCACACCAACGTCCAACCTCCTCCAATGTACGACCCCACGCGTCCTCAGAAGCTCCCGACTCCGACACCCTCGGACATTGCCCCGGGCTGATTTTGTGGCCCACAACGTTCATTCCCATGACCCTGACGGAGCTCGAAACCCATGCTTCAAAGCACCTGCGCGTCCTGCTATCCTGCAAATCTGCGCTGGTGAATTATGCGTCGGAGATCGCAGACCAAGGCGAGGCGGAGACACAAGGTGAGGCAGCGATGGAGGCGCTGTGGGAGTATCAAAAGTACGTATCGAATTAGCACAATATCTCCCGTGATCTGATTTTTTTCTACCAGCTTTCTTCGAGAGCGCTACAACCCCCCGCCTGAGGATCCCACTCGAGGGATGTCAGACACGTCGTCGACGGACGATGCGAACAGCATCCGCAATTCGATCTTCTCCGTCAGTTCGGTGGGTTCGGAAGCTCTGGACGCCATGCGGGATTACCAGAGGTATAAATTGATGCCATCCATTTGTATCTGATGCACTGACCCGCTGCTTCCCTCAGCGAATTGCACAGTCGTTTCGAGTGGACCTCCGAACCAGCACGATCTTTGCGCGAGACACCCACCCCCACGGCTACACCGCGAGCTAGCGTCATTGAAAGCCTGGCGCCACCCCCTGCATCCACATCAGCCCTGCCCCGAGTGAGAAAATCACGGAGCAGGGGCAGCCGAGGCAGGGATCGCGCTTCGTCCGTAGCCTCTACTGTCGCTCCCCCCTACTCCCGTATTGAGTTGACCCATGTCCGGACATTCTATATTTACGAAGCCGTGAAAGTCGTGGACGCCAGATTTGGTGGTCCGATCTGAGTCTTTCTTGCATTGCTAGAGTATTAATTTTTCGATTAATGTATCTCTTATAACTTATCGTGTATTAGTTTTAATGTATTGTGTGCAGATCGGTGACATTCGGGAAAACTGTCCCGGTATGGGTTTCAGGAAGTCGATGTTGAAGTCGATGTTGAAGTTGGTGGCTATATTTAATATCAAGGGGAAAGTGTTCAGGCATAAGATCTAAATCCAAGTTCCACGCAAAGGCATGTAACATATTCACTAACACGTAAAGAGACGAACGGCATAATCCCTGTGCGCTACCTATTCGCTATCACTCGAATCGCCCAAGAAGAACCAGGTAGGTGCAGGTATTACTTCCAGTCGAACGCTCAAATCAGCATCCTTCATCGCCAAGAACTCATTGCGGATCGCCTCGTCCATGCGTGAAATCGTGATGAGGTCAATTTCTCCTAATAGCTGCACGGCGTCTGACGCGCTCTCGCGGCGGGGGTTAGGGAGACTAATCCGCGTGTGGACCATATTCGCGAGCTTTTTGAGGTAAATTTTCGGAGGAACCTTCTCGTAAGTGAGCTTCTCCCAAATGCGCAACTTGTTGAGCTTTGGGAGAGGGCAGGGAACGTACTTGGATTCGCCACGGGTTAAACCTAGGATGAACTCGAGCGTCATTTTATTGCACTTCAAACGAAGGTCCAAAAGTGTTGGTGTGAGCTTCAGGAATGACAACACTTTGATGTTGATTCTTGTGGTGTACATTTCGAGAGAAAATGTCTCGAGAGAGCACGAGGATCGCATGACAAGGCCCTTGAGCTTAGGCATCAAGTCGCGCGCCTTGGCACACGAGGCTATCTTGAGGGTTCGCAATTCGGGAAGGGTCAAGAGTTCGAGGAGGGCCCAAGGGTGATGATCATGACCGTCTTGTATAGCCCCCGTTGGCTCGCCTTCCTTGATGGTCAAGGTGCGCAGGTGCGGGAGATGTATGTTCGTAAGTGCGGGCTGGGGATTATAGGACAAATCGTTCAAAGGTCCATATATGCGACAGACCACGAGGTTCGTCATCCTTGGAAGGCACTTGAATAAGGCCGAAAGATCCTCCTCCCATACGTGGTAGGATGTCAATTGCTCCCAAGGTAGGAAGAAGGAAATGAGTCCGTTGTGAAACGCCTTGTATTCGCGTAGTAGCGGGGCAATTTCAAAAGCACTGAGAGTGGGGAGGAGGGGATCTTCGTCGGCGCATGCCATGAGGTTGATGTTTAACCTGCGGAGAGCCGAAACCCGACCTCTGATCGGCGCAAGGCTGAGTACAAGGGCTGCAGGAATAAAAAGTTCAACATCGGCCCAGCGATTCGACTCCTGGATGAGGAGGTCCAACGCTGAATCCGAGTTGCCGATCTCCTTTTCGCAATAAAGCTTCACTGTAAGAGGGTAGTCCCTTGAGCGCTCAAGGAAGCGCGCAACATCGTCGACGTTCCTCCCGGGACCGTATAAACGTATGTCAATATGGCACCAGAGGCTGGGAGTGCCGAGAGAAACATATCTCCAGCGCGCGCATACTTGAGAGATCCGCACGGGATCGACGCCGGTGTCGATTCCGAAGATTTTGATAAGAATTTCTGGCGGGAGGCGCCAAAGAACTGAAACAAGGGATTTAAGGTTGAGGATGATATCTTCCGACTGGATGACAGTGTCAGACATGATCCTGGCATGAAGATCCATGTGCCGAGGGTCGGTCTGATCAAAATTGCGAGCAATTTTGCTCCACGAAGGTTCAACTGACATTCTCCGGGTCGGAAACCTGCAGGAGATCAATCATTGAATAAGATATAGCCAAATTGGATAACACCGCCGGGCACGTACAAATAGTTTGCGAAACTTGAACGGCGGGAAGTTTAGGACTTGGAGAATAGAGGACTTGGGAGTAAAGATTTGCATGGTGGCTCACAGCTCATTATAAGATAGAGAGAACAAAGAGAAAGGAATGCTTTGGTCAATTCAAAGCAAAAACGTCACGCTGAAAGAAAGACAAAGCTCAGCGATCCAAAACAAACATCTCCGGTCCTGGAGTGGCCGGAAACTTCTTGAAAAATTCCCATTGCGTGAGGAATAAATAAAAAAGAAGTTTGAAGATGGTCGTCAAAGGGAAGGAGTCAAAACAGAGCCGCTCGGCCGGTGTTAGCCGCCGGAGTTTCGGGCCGATGTGGTTGCGTTTCTCCCCTCATGCCAATCTCATGTGGGGCGGGTTGGGCGTTGAATGGTTGTCTTTTCAAATATCACCATGAAACCCTGTGATACTCCTCACTCGGACAAAACGACATCTGTATACGGGTTACGGTACCCCAGCCGGGAAGGTTCAACAAATGCGTTCGTACAACAGCTTACAATAATGCCACAGCAACATAAGTACGACTCGGACGCGCCACCATGATGTTAACATGCCGTTCAGAATGGTGCAAGGACAGGTAATGAACTTGATTCTATCCAACGATGACATCCTTCAAACTGTGGCATGGCGATGTGTAGCGATCCAGAACATCCGGCGCGTCCTCTAGCAAAGAAGAAGAAGACGTGTTACCAATACACCACCAGGCCAATGTTCCTTTCTCTTGATGATGGAGTATATGTGGTATGTGGTTACTGGTAGAACGGAGGGGTTACGAAGCCTAAAATATATCCTTATTTTAGTTTCGTTCTTGTGATCGGTTTTCCTGCCGACTTTCGAGGAGAATTCAGCCCACTTTTGATGGAAGTTGTTGTTATTTGTTGTCCTCTTGATTGACGTGGGCACAGCCATCCGGATCATGAGCTATCACTGCCGCGCGTCGAAACCCACTTGCCTTTTCTCTTTTGCCCTTCTGCTGGTCTGCTCCTCGAAAAATCTTCAAATCTATCTTCCACGTCTGCAAAATCCCATGCGAATACCACTACACGCTGAAATAAAGCCCCCCGGTGCGCCCCTTTTGGCTTAGCGAGACCGCTCTCCCTTCCGACCGTCTTTACGGATGAACTTGAATTACCTGGTGGATAACTTGGAGTGACCGCACTCCCCCGGCGATTCTTGCCTGGGAGTTTTTTCCTCGCTCTTCATTAATCCCTTGCGACGCGCCTCCTTTGATGGAACGTCCCTATATACGTGTATCCTTGGAATACCGGTCCCCGGTTCAGCTATATGCATGTCCGGACTCCTGCGTAATCCCCCCCTGCATTCAAGTCTTTCCGGGGCTCAAATTCTACTGCCTTGGTGCACGTACTATTATGAAAACTCCGCGCCATGCTTGCCGAGTGCCTAGAATTTCTTCGACTTATGTTCAATGGCCGATACCGTACATCTGAGGTGTGCCCTTGCACGAGCCTGACCGTCTACTGGGGACAATTTGGGGACAGGTCTGGTCAAGACGAGCACAGAAGGACATGGAACCGTGCCAGAAACTGGAACGTGGGCTGCCTTTGCACACCCGCCTCTGAGAATTCGAAGTCTCTGACTTAATTTCACATTTTATATTACTTCCTACATTCTCAGTGTATGCTCAGCCGCCATAGAATTTTAACACGTTCTCTGTACCAACCCTCCACGCCACCACTAATCTGCATTCAAGAACAGGCTTCGTACTGCCATGCAAAGCAATGGCCTCAAAAGCCACGTGGTTGGATTTCAACCAGAACGTTAACAGATGCCATACTTAAAGTAGCACAAGTCTCAAAGTGCATGTGAGGGTAGCTAGCTTCGGAGACGGAAATAGATGGAAAATGAACCCTTGCGCGCGAGGAAGGCCCGAACGAAGTTGCCTTGTCAACGGCTAAAAGAAGAAGAAAAAACCGAACATAGAAACATCCATGGCTTGGCCCCGAATCGAACAGGGTATTTCTTCAGAAAATTCCCATCTGAACCGATAACGAGAGAAGATGTGTTACCATTACACCACCAGGCCGACAATTCCTGACTCTCGATGATGGGATATATGCCAGAGTCAGTAGTAGGTGTATGAGATGAATTTTCACTAAACATTCAATCTCAATCACGGTAGCACAGTGTGGTATGGCAAGGCAAGGACTGTCCGGTGCAATAGCTAGATGAAATGAAAGACGATATGAAATTAGAGTCGGAGGAAAGCTGTTTTTTTTTTCTGCAAAAAAAGGGGGAAAAAGTTGACCAAGAGGACTATGGAATGGCCTGGCCCCGAATCGAACGGGGTGCTTCTTCTGAAGTGCCTCTGCTTATTCAGAAGCAGAGAAGACGTGTTACCGATACATCACCAGGCCAATGTCCCCTGTCCTTGATGATGGGATATATGTGGTAGAAGGGAGGGAGGCAGCAGTGGGTGGTTCAATTTGCACTTGCCAAATGTGTAGATTCAAGTTCAACACAACACATCATAAATAGCTAGTGTCCAGCGTAAAGCGATTTTTCGGAAAACAAGTATGGAGGTAACAAGGAAGAGCGAAAAGTTCGCGTGAGACGAAAGGGGGTCAAAAGGATTTAGAAAACGGACATGACCCAGCCCCGAATCGAACGGGGTTCATCTCCTCAATTTTTTGCCGCTGAGAAACAATTATGATAAGAAGACGTGTTATGAATACACCACCAGGCCGACACTCCTCGATGTTGCTTGTGGGATATAGGGGGGGAGAGAGAGAGGAAGAGATCTCCGACGTGGGAGATTGGCTTATGAGAGTGAATTTAACCCGTGGGAAGGCCATCGATTACATATGTATGTTGCGCAGTCGGACCCACCCACGGGTACTCGCACGGTGATTCGAAGTACGAGGACGAGTAGGAAGGAAGACGAGTAGGAAGCCTGAGGGAGCCGCGATCAAGGGTGTGGTGGTGAGAAACGCCGGGAAGCCTGAGGGACTGAGAGAATTCTACACGGCACGGTTACTGTGGCCGAGGAGAGTGGTGTCGTTCATAGAGTATACTCCACACGAGTACTCACGGTGGCCGCGCTGGCAAGATAGGCTGACGATGCGACGCGTGCGCACTAGATACTGGTGTCGGGCGGTGCATGTTTTAACTAAGGCGCGCACCTGGACCGGGGTTTGGTTGATGCGCCTGCGTGGTTGGTTGCAATTGATGCGCCTTGAACGCGTGCGGCCGTGTTAATTACCTTGATAAACCTAAAGTGGTGTTCGGAATGTTAATGAAGGCATGTGGATTTGTTTTGTTTGGATTATCGAGAATGAAGAGATCAAAGAATCAGCGGCGTCTGTCTGGTGAAATGTCGACTTCGAGGGTATGTTATGTTATCCCGAGTCCGGATTCGTGCTGGGTTGAAACAAAGTCTCTGCGACCGGGCGGAGAGGCTAGACTGAAAGAAACGTCAGGCAGATCCCGGGACCAGGTCGGACAGGGACTTTGAGGCGTTGATTAAATTCAACTTGAATGCTGTTGAGGCGTTAGAGTAACGTCGGGCCCGGGCGGCTTGCCGAGCGGCGTATATACGCGTCAAGTCCGCACGCAGAGACCCACACATCCTCCGCCAACTGCGCAGATACGATTGCGTGCTGCTGATGTAGTCTGCACTAGAGGGAGAATGTGATAAGACGGGCGGCGACGAATGGGCGTAGCGTTGTTGGGTTCATGGTGCGGGTGTGGATCGGCATCCGTAATCAGCACGAGCGACGCATCAGGCGGAGGTACGCAGACGATGGACGACGCATCATCTGCGGGGAGGAGTGCGCCATGGTGCTGCGCACGGTTAAACGGGTGGCTTTGAAAAGGTGGGTCATGGATAGCGCAGACTGACACATGTCGAGATGGTGGTGTGAAAGCTGACATCAGAAGAAGGATAGGGGGTTGTTCCGTCCGCAGAACAGCAGTTGTGGCGGAGAAATGCGGAATGGACGACTGGAATTGAAGGGTACTTGAGAGGGCAGCGTTGTTTTCGGGATGTTGTGTTAATGAAGAGGCGGGATGTGATGGAATTAAGGTTAACGTCGATTACGTACAGGGATTTGTGTGATCGCCGGAGATATGTAATTGGGAGACGCTCGCGACCACAACACAACTTTGTGTCTCTCTTTTTTGTGTTCTTTCTTCGTTCTGTGGATATTCTAGTCGTGACATGGCACTGGATGGCCCTACAACTGCATAACTCAATCTGGGGCTCTCCCACCAGCGAACACAGCCGTGACTCGTTCAGCGGCCTCCGCGAGGGATACAACCACGACCGCGATGTCAACATCCAAGACGAGGTGGTCGACAGCCACACCCGCGTTGTGTCGATTGCGTCCTCGCAGCAGCCCCTTCTCACTGCAGCTGCAAGTACATCTGGATCTCCCGGAAGCACGGCGTACCTCGACCTCCTTGCGCGCCAGCCCGTCCATCCGAATGCCGCGTTGGTGACTAGTACCCCGATTCACACAGCACCACCACTCTCCCTCGCCGGCGACCCACTTTCGCTGCTTGAGCGCAAGGAAACCGCGGATGCTCGAGTCCGGCGCCGTCTCCGCCGTCTGCGTCTCGCTATCGCGGCGTTGGAGGTCGTCGTGGGTGGGTGGGGAGTGTACACCGCCGTGCGGTATTGGTTGGCGTATGCGCGGTTGGCCTCCTCGTCAATCAACCTCGCACTAGCCATCCTCGCCTCCCTCTGCCTCCTCTCCCTCCTCCTCTCCACCCTCGTCCCCTTCCTGCCATCCTCCCTCCTCCCCCGCCGCCTCCGCAAACGCTTTCTCCGCCGCGGCTTCCGGTACACCGCCGCTCTCCTCTGGCTCGTGCCTGCGATAGTCAACTTTGCGTTCGTCTTCGTCTGGCGCTCTCGCCTCGACACCCGCTGCACCAACGTCGACGTCGACGTCATCTGGTCCGTCCCGACCAACCAACCCGACGCGTGTGCAAGCAGCACTCCCTGGGGCGCGTGGCTCGCCCTCGCGATTGTGAGGCTGTTGTTGACCGTGGGCGTGTTGGTGAGTTTTCTCTTTTGCTTCGTATTGCACTTCACTTCATTCCTCACCGTCTTCACTCCGGCTCTCCTCTCCCCCATCCCTTATCCGATCATCTACTAACACTCATCTCGTACAGGTCCTCTACCACCTCGCCCTCGCCGCATACGCCCGCGCGCGTCGCCCATCACGGCACCACTCCCGTTCTTCCTCTTCCTCGTCTACCTCATCCTCCTTGTCCTCCGAGTCCCATTCTTCCTCAAATTCGCACCCCAACCGCCCCCGCACCACCACCCCGAACCCACGCCGCAACGCCCGCCGCGGCTCGGGCTCAAACTCGTACTTCACCCCCGCGCCCACCCGAAGCCGCAACGGGAGCCAGGCGCGGATGAGCGGGACGAGCATGCTGCTGGGGAGCCCGCCGCAGTCGTTAGCGCTTGGGAGGAGTGATTCGATGCAGTATTCGAGCGACACGCACTACTCGGGCTATCCACACCCAAATCCAAACGCAAACGCAAATTCAAGCGCGCATTACGGATACGGTGACGGCCACCCGCACCAACATCAGCATCAGACGTCGATGTCGACTCTCGCGTCCGCGACGAGGCCGCTGTCGCTCCTGAGGACGGGGAGCGGGGAGCTGGGGCTTTTGAGGACGGGGAGTGGGGTTACTGTGGGTGGGAGTGGAGTTACTTTAGGTACGGTGGGTGGGAGTTCGGCTGGAGGCGGAGGGGCAGGAGGGAATAGGTCGTTGCGCAGTTCGCGCGCGTCGAGGTCGGAGAGGGAGAGTCAGCAGCAGCATGGGTCGCCGCCGCGTGAGTTTTCCTTTCTTTTCTTTTCATTCCATTTCGATTTCCATTCCCATTCCCATTTCCACTTTCCACTTTTCACTTTCACTTTCGCTTTCACTTTCCACTTTCACTTTCACTTCCCCTCGTTTTCGACCACCACCCCCCCCCCCCCCCCCCCCCCCGAACATCCTACTAACGCACACACCAAAAACAGGAGGCGCTGGCTCCGCGGACTCGCACCATTCGCATTCGCACCATTCGCATTCGCACCATTCGCATGCACACGGAAATACGCATACCGGCGCAGACGCACACGGAAATACGCATACCGGCGCGGATGAGACACACTCGGCGCGCTCCTCGGCATCGTACGAAGACGAGAACGACGAGTTTGACCCGTATGCGGGGATTGGGCTGTATGGCGGGGGGCACCTTACTGGCGCCGGCGCGGGCGCCGCGGGGTATGCGCGTTTGGGTGTGAGTTCGCCTGGTACGGGGGTGGGGGTGGGTCGCCGGGGAAGTGGGTGCCAACAAGGTACGTCTCAGCTCATGTTCCGCGTCGTCGTTCCGCCCGTCACACTGACCATCCCGCGCACATCGGTGCGATCTATCTCCCGCTACGGTGCGTAAACCCTTCTACTCTGTTCCTTCCCGTCCCTCTTTCCTTCTTTTTCGCGTTCCTTCTCTTCTCCTCCGTCCCTCTCGTTCGTTCCTTGCATCGCACCCATCCATCCGTTACCGGAGGATGACGCGAGGCGGCGCGCCCTCCTCTTTCCTTCTTTGCCGCAATCCTTCTCCCTGCTTGTCACCCATCCAAGCCGCGCGCGTTCCATGCACGACCGAGTCGAGATGGGTTGATGAGAGGCGTAACGGCGTGCACGCATGCAGTTCGCGTCGAGTCGGGTCGGTTGCGCGCGCGCAAAGTCGAATAGAGTTGCGCGCGCAGAGTCGAATGGCGCGGAGAGCCAATTCGATTGCGTGTAGAGTCGGCGCTGTGGCGTGTTAAACCCACGAGCAAGAATGCCTCGTTGTTCCTCGCGCGACTTGACTTGTCATCGGCGCGCGACAGCTTGTGGGTGTCATCAAATCGATTCGGCGCAGGGAGTCTGTCGTTCTTCTGTAGTATATGAATATTACACCGCCTGCATGTGTAGCTAGATCTCTGAATAAAACGTTAGCGTCTCGAAATACCACACACATACGTGAGTCGGAATACCAACAATGTAATTATTGAGCTGATTCATGAGGGAGCGACGCAGTGTAGCATCGAGGTGCATTGTCGGACGCAGGGGAAGTCGGAATCCGTGGTGGTCTTGGACGTTGAGTCAGGGTCTGTTGCGGCGGCGTTGTTGGCCATTAGTCGCGGCGAATCCGCTCAGCATACATGAAATGAACAAACGATCTCGGGTTGAGTAGGGGTCACATACCGCAGAGATACGCAATGAATCAGTAAACGGCCGAACGCGGACGATGTACGTGAGGTATATGAAGATTCCGGTTGCCCTGCAAGATAGCAGTGCGAGTTAGTTGGAAATCTGTGGTTGAATTACTTAGTCGAAACTGTGGCTGAATGTTCGAATGATAGTTACTCACCGAGAGTTGATTGAGCGGGAGAGATTGTGGTTGGTCGCTTGGTTACAGCCGCACTGGATCTAGATGTTCGTGAGCGTGATAGATAAATGTGCGAGGGAATGAACGCGAACCTTAGTTTCAACTTTGATCCCTGAAAACAGGTTTCAGAGAAAGCTGAGCATGGTATCACAATAAGGACCGTGAATCGGGTGTTGGATATGAGAATACAGGAGAACGTACAGTATAGAATGTTAAGAGAACGTATGGTATATCGGCAAGAGAACGACTTGATGGTTTGCTTTAAAGATGTGAGTTTAGAATATTCTGGGGTGAACACCGTTAATCGG